ATTATAATTAGGAATTTGTTTGCATTTTTGGCAATAAATGTGTTGTCAATCAATTGACGCGAAAATTCTGCAAAAAGTGTAGAATTGATAAATGCTTTGCCATCGGAATGAAGAAAGTAAGTCACGAATCAATGCATTGTTTTAATATTATGTTATTTAATTAAATCTATTTATTTATTTGTAAGTTTGTATATTACAATAAACTTTAATGACTAAATTGTATGAGCGTTATAGCATTAGTATGCAATATGCATACACATGCAATATGTTTGCCATTTCATATCATTTATTTTATTTTAATAACTAAATCGCCATGGTTGTATTTAACAGGGAATGTGTCACTCGCACAATGGCACAAAAGACATTATGGTAAAACATAGCCATAGGAAACACTCAACAGACTTTGAATGCAATTCTTCTCAGGAACCGATTGATAGCTCGGCAAACAATATGTGTTTGTATGGAAACGGTAACAGCGATAACACTTTCATCCATCAAATCCCAAACATCATAAGAGGGCTTATATTTGATTTCAATGATCTGGAAATGTATCGAATGAGACAACTGTTTAGCTCAACCGCTCATATGAGAGATCCGGTGGCGAGGATTACGTCGGATCCCAAAACACACCCCGAAGTGAACAGAATTTTTCAACACAGAACTGATATGAGATGTCGACAAACAATCAAAATGTGTAAAACAATGACTGAATTCAGGGATTTGTGCGAAAACGACCAAATAATCCTATTGAAGACCTCTTGCTTCGAGATGTTGTGCTTCGTGTCTGTCCTCACGTTTGACTTTACCGACCAATTCTGGACCGTTTATATTGTATGTAATGTTTAATAAATGTTGTTTTATAACAGTGTTTTAATTTTAATGATGGTTGTTTTCAGGATCCGGAGAATGCGGCCATGCTCAGATTGGAGGCGCTAATAAAGTGGGGCAAAATGAATCTCTATGATATACTTATTAATTATATGTTTAAACTTAACCAAGAGTATAATCAGGACACAAACCTTATTGATTTGGTAAATACTTTTTTACACTTTAGTATACTTTGGGTGTTTTCAATATTACAACACTTTAATTTTTAATTATCTATATTCTTACAGTTGATGGCAATAATAGTATTCAATCCCAATCGACCAAATTTAAAGCAAACTGATCAAGTTATGTAAGTTATTGAATAAAATTTTATCATTATTGTTATAATTAATTATTAATTTGCTTTTGAACAGGATTCAAAGGGAGACATATATTTATTTACTTCACCGCTATTTAGAGTTAAAACACAACTCGAAAACAGAGGCAGAGATACGGTTCACACGATTAATGAATTGTCTGCAAGACTTGTATACTTTGAGAAATGTCATGAAATCTAATTATATCTCAAGTGATCCTAAGAATGGGCACGAATTGGTGATCGAAATCATTTCATAATTAATGTAATAATAATAACATCAATTGTCATATAAATTATTCAATATATTTGGTATGTTTGCTAACTTTAAAGAGATATGATTTTATATCATATGAATAGAGGAAATACAAAACTCTCAAATGCAGGACTAGAGATGTGATTCGTGTGGACAATGAACTAACTTCAAAATATGTATTCATTGTATACAATAATTTTAAATAATTATATTTCAACCAAGTCTAAAAATATGCACAAATTGGTCACAGGAAAGGTTTAACAATAATAAAAATACCGGTAATAATAATTGGGAAATATTCAAACAAATAATACAATTGAAAGCATAGATTAGGTTTATTTTTAGCTCAATTTCCTACGATTTTTATTTGAAGGTTAGGATTACCTAAACATTAAATAATATACTATTTATATAGTAAGCACTCAAGTATTTCAAAAAAAAATCCAGGCAAACAAACCAAAAATGAATAAAACTAAATTTTGTTCAAACCTCTTAAAATGTCCTGTTACAAATTTTATTTTATAATTTAAATATAGTATATTTGATGTAAATTCTTATATGTTGTAAAATATATTATTGAACAATCCATATAATTAAATGATTGATTGTTATTATTAGGTATTTTAATTTCTATGACAACTAGCAATGTTTTTTAAATTCATTAAATATTTAAAACATTTGTCATTATTGTGAATTCATTAATTATATTTAAATATATTATTTCTCATATACTGTAATTATATTTTGAACATAATAAATTAAATATAGTTTATAAAAAATAAACAACAAATCATGTATAATAATAATGATATTCTTCAAAGGTACGGTATTACCGTTATTAATTAAATTAATATAATATAGCGCCTATTACTAATAGATTTTAGAATATTATTTTCTTATAAGGAACACTGAAAATGCTTTGTTAAATTGACCTTCGTTTAAAATCATTAAATTTTTACACATTACTAAAATCCCATTTGTAATAAAATTGGGAAATTTTCCACCAATCCTATTTTTCACTTTCCATGTATACCAAAGTGTATTTAATGTAATTAATACAGTAATGAATTAACTGTTTTTTTGTATAAACGTAGAAAAATCATAACTGGGTGAATTAAATCAAATAATTTTAGAAACTTATTCCAGTGAATCAGATAAATTAAATAAATAAACTATTTCAATTTTAGAGATCATTCAATATTAGGTTAAATTACATGTACAAAATTTGTACATTTAATGTATAGTAAAACGACATTAATGCAAACATGCGCTCAATTGATACCATGAAAATGCACTTAAGTTTGCACTAAATCTGGTTGTAATAACAGTTATACTGTACTAACAATCTGGTTGTCGTAGAAATACATGTTATACTGATTTTAGGCACATAAGGAATAAACAGCGATTCCTACACTTTAGTGCAAACATTGATGTTTTAAAGTAAACTTAATTTATAACTTAATACGAATTATAATACTGTTGAGTGTTTTGTTATTTGTTTATTTATTTTATGTCTAAATCAATAATTCAAAGTTTTTATAGTAATCTATAATAATAGTTATAAAATGCCTAAAAAAGGTGTACAACAGTTAACATGTAGAGTTTGCGGCGATAATTCTATCGGTAAGTATTTTTTCATAAATGGTTAAAATTTTAATTATAAATAATAAATTTAATTATTATTTTACTAATCATTTATATAATATTAGCGTTTAATTTTGGTGTTGAATCGTGTGAGTCCTGTAAAGCGTTCTTCAGACGAAATGCACTGAAAAATAGGGTAAATAATAATAAATTGTTGTAATAATACAACTGTTGCTAAATGTAATAAATCATAATTTTATAATTTGCATAATTAAAGGGATTTGTCTGTAAATATGGGGGCAATTGTGAAGTGGATGTCACCCGAAGACGCTTTTGCCGGAGCTGTCGATTACAAAAGTGTTTCGCAGTTGGAATGATAAAAGTACCACGTTCATTATCATTAGCTAGATCATTTATTAGTTAATGTTATATTAATGTAATATTTCATAACACAATTCAATGATAGGATTACATCCTAACCGATGAGCAGAAAAGTCAGCGAAAATTTTTCACAAAAGAAAACCGCGAAAAACGTGACGACAATAATAACAACGAATCGCAGAATATTCTCGACTTTGAAGGCATTGAAGTGTTTGACGATTCGCTTGACTTCGAAGGAATGGAGATGTTTGACAATTCATATGATTTTGATCATCAAATGGTTTCCATTTCTCGAACGATCAATACGTACGACAAGAATCTAAATGATATGGAAATCTCGCGTTTGGGTGAACTGTTGAACGCCGCGGAACTCATCAGAGATCCCGTCAGCAAAATCACTGCCGAACCCAAGGATTTGGACGTAATTTTGGCCACTTATGGCTTTAAAATGGACCTCGAGTTAAGACGACTACCAGTGATGTGCAAACACTTGAGTGCATTCAGCACTATCTGCGAAGAGGACAAGTATGCACTCGTGAAGGCCGGTTGTCTTGAGATAATAACCATGCGTTCACTCATTGCATACAATAATGATAACCAGTACTGGACTATAATTTTGGTTAGATTTTAATGACGTTTAACTTGTTTTTTGAATACTTTTTAATATTCAATGTATTCCATGTGGTTATAGGATGCGGACAATACATCTGTGGTTAGGTTAGAGACATTGAAATTTATAAGTGAAAATTTTTATAAAGTGTCCAAAGATTTCTTTACTAAATACGGCGGGGAATGGGATTTGGATTCAATTATTTTGGATTTGGTAATTATTTTATGATTTTTATAAGCATTGGTTGTAATATTAAGCAATTTATTTAATTTCTAGTTAACAGCGATCGCACTGTTTAATGCCGATCGGCCTAATATTATACACAAACCAGTAATTAAGTGAGTATTGATTTAACAATAAAATCAATTAAAATTAAATTAATTGAATTTATTCTCCAATTATAGACTTTATCAACAAATGTATATTTTTCTACTTAAAAGATATCTCGGATTTAAATATAATGAATGGGAAACCAATGAGAAGTTTTCAATACTAATGCATTGTTTGTGTGATTTAAAAAACTTTTCAAATTTTGATCGAAAAATCCCAGAGAATTGTGTTTATAAACCGCCAC